CTGAAGAATAAAGTCATATTATGCAATGTCAGGACACCTTTTTCTCATTTTGCCTCAGCCTCATTTTAAACGCCTGTAATGTAAAATGTTTATTTTTTTATATCGTCTGGTATATTGCGTCTTAGTCTGAGTTAAACTTCTTTTAAATTTAATCTTTTAAATATTTTTTATTGTTTTTAAAATTTAATTATTTAGTTTTTTCAAATCCTAAAATACAATAATTTTTACTTGCGAATGTATTTTTTCCTGCAAGTTCCATATCGTTTAAAATAGAAGCGCCACTACATCAAGATGAGATAAGAAAAAAATCCAATATCAAGCCGAATATTTGTAATTCGACGTTTGCTATTTATTAATAATTTAGTCTTCTTTATGAGGCAAATGTAATTAATTTGCATTGTGGTCGTTTCCGATCATTTTGGTCTGTTTAATCTCTTCATCCTAGCACTGAAGTCGGGAGTTGGCGAATCGCCTCTGACGTAGCAAAACAGATAAAAAAGCCCGGAATGGCCAAAAGATACGTTAATAATCCCCTCTAATCCAAACAGCCGAGTTTAAGTGCAGAACCTCACATCTTAGCTTAAGTAGTTATCGCAACTCATTGAGAAAAAGACCGTCAAAATTGTCGTCATGTAAGATCGCAGGAGAAATTTGTCCCTCTTTGTAAAGGGAGAGATGCATAGATGCTTGGACACGTGAGCTGCATTCTTCGTGATAATTGTGCCTGTCACAGAGATTGTCTAAGGATAAAAGAAAAGGCAAATTGTTGTTCACTTTCCAAACAAATATTTCCAGTGTGCAAACCATGAAATATTAGACTTCATTACCGCCAAAGTTGTAATTTTTGAGTATCTAGTATCGGAGACAACAGAACTTTCATAATATAGAAGTAGTAAAACTTAAGTGTATATATCAAAACTACATCAACGTTTGTCTCTAAATAAAGTCTATAGTTTGGTGCACCAGATGGCAATGTGAATAACTTTCTTATAAAAAAGTTGCACTTTTTCTATAGTTTTGAATTTCTGATATCCCCACATTTGACAGCCATAACATAGAATTGCACGAATATCGCATTAAAAATATTAAACTTGACTTTAATAGGGATAGTTTCTTGAAGTATGAAGGCTGACCTTGGGTTATTTAGAGCTAATTTAGCCGCTGACCCTTTACAAGAGAAGTGCTTTGTCTAAGAGAGTCTTGGGGTAAATATGACTCCTAAATATTTGTACTCATTTACAATCTCGATGAGATTGCCACTGAAAAAAAAGCCATACAAAGAACTCAACCTACCCCCTCTCCTTAACACTATGATTTTGGACTTCTCTAAATTAACTGTGAGCTTACACTGAGACCAGTAATGTTCAAATAGTTTAGTATTTCTTTTCGCATTCATTTAAAGTTAGTAGATCCTGGTTAACTTTAATAATTGCGAGAGAGAGAGAGAGAGAGAGAGAGATACAGCGTCATCCATTTAGATTGGAAATAACAACCTACCTATTATTGAAAACACCACCAATTAATCCCACAGCTTTGCCCTTACACCATTTTGAAAAACAACACAACTTTGATTTCGACAAAATAGAAATGCTAAACACTGAAAAAAGTACAAATGTAACTTTCTTGAAATGGCTCACATTAACAGAGATACACACTGACGCACAGCATTAATTACAGAACAATTACATGCAAACTCAGCTGTGGTTACGCCATCATAAACCAAATAAACCATTATATATTTTTATATTTCCCTTTCCTTCGTTATCGTACTTCTTTTCCAAATTGGATAAACAACGTATCACAAATCCAATGGTTAAATTATTAGACGTACAACTGCCCTAAGGCGCGCAAGGTAAACACTTCTGCAACAGTCGCAAGTCTTGCGGGCTTAGTATATACGGCTCCCTTGATCAAGCCTCGATCGCAATACCTTTTACGTAATTAATTGTTTTCTTTGTATAATCAAGTAATAACCAATCATGTAGAGAAAGAGAGAGAGAGAGAGAGAGAGAGAGAGAGAGAGAGAGAGAGAGAGAGAGAAAGAAAGATTTTTTTTTTATTAATATACCATATTATTACAAGTAAAGTAATTAGAACCATTGAATAACATATTAAAGAGATTTACTACATATCGAGTTTTAAAATTTCACGCTGTTGTCAAAATATTTACAAAAAAATGTAATTTTCTTATTTACTACGATAATATATTGAAAAGTTACAACGCAAGTTGATCACGGTGACCTTGTAATAGGTTTTAATCTATCTTTATGCAAGTACAAATTTTGTCATGTTTATATTTTTTACATTACTATTAGGGCGTAATTTTAAATGTAGTAACTCATTTATTTAAGACGTTTTAACATAACATATAATAATAGGATGTTGAAGCCCCTGACACGTCGGAAGGCGTTCCAGTTCTCGGGCGGGCCATTTCCTGCGATTCTGTGTCGAGCGTCACATCGATTGCTGCTCAAGATTTGGTAGAGCCGAACATAGCCGGATATCTGTGCATAGGAATTGACTACGACTGGTAATTTCACCATTACACTATTACTTACACCATTTTGAAAAACAACACAACTTTGATTTCGATAAAATAGAAATGCTAAACACTGAAAAAAATACAAATGTAACTTTCTTGAAATGGCTTACATTAACAGAGATACACACTGACGCACAGCATTAATTACAGAACAGTTGCATGCAAACTCAGTCGTGGTTACGCCAACATCATAAAGCAAATAAGCCATGATATATTTTTATATTTCCCTTTCCTTCGTTATCGTACATAATAATTAACTTCTTTTCCAATATTGAATAAACCACCACAAATCCAATGGTTAAATTATTAGGCGTACAACTGTCCTAAGGCGCGCAAGGCAAACACTTCTGCAACAGTCGCAAGTCTTGCGGGCTTAGTATACACGGCCCCCTTGATCAAGCCTCGATCGCAAATACCTTTAACGTAATTAATTGTTTTCTTTGTATAATCAAGTAATAACCAATCATGTAGAGAAAGAGAGAGAGAGGGAGAGAGTGACGAGAGGGAAACAGAGAGAGGTAGGGAGGGAGAAAGAGATTAAACGTTTAATTTAACCACGCAAAGTTAGGTCTCGTGGACCTTTCTTCCAATTAATGTGGGTTCTACATTTTACATTATACATACAATTTATGCACCCTTTTGGTCTTTACAATTTATTTTACAAATAAAATACAAGAAAAAAAGTTTTACACAGTTTTCATTAAATATTTCAGAATACAACATGTGGTTTATAATATATTATATAATAATATAATATTATAATATTATGTATATATTACATAAGAAATCAATGAATAACAATCAAAATAAAAAATAAGATAAACAATAAAAGCTTTAACAAGAATTTTTGGGAGTTAGACATGACTTTAAATTTATTCACCAATTATTTTTTAATTTCCGTTACTATTATAGTTATTTAGAGAATGCAAAAACACATGATATAAAACATAATATTAATTAATTTATGATTCCATAATTTTATGATGGTTTTAATTATTTTCCATCAGATTTTTAGATATTTTCTTTTGAAAGTACGAAAACTGCTCTAAGAGGAAATACTATTTGGAACGCTATTAAACAGCTTATGCAAGTAATTAAGAAGAGATGGAGTATGTTTTAGTTCTATGAAAAGAAATTTCTTTTGTCTTAAGTTTAATGTTGTAATTTTTCTCTTATATACAACAAATAGCTAGTTCGGTTGCTTAGAGTGTATAATTTTAAACATTGTTGATGTTATGGTCATTTTTTGTAACTGATCATATCTTAACATATTTGTGCTCTTATATTTATCACATATAGTGATAGACTATCGTACTTTAGTCTTAATATGTATCTTTACACTTGCATTTTGTGCTGTTTGTATATAACGTTTGTCTGTATCAAACAAATCAGACATTATAGCTTGTGAGGTGAATTAACTATTTCCTTTCTAACAAATACATTACTAGTTGACATGATTTTATTAAATCAGTACAAAAGTGAATACGCTCACACACTCACAACAAATCTAGTTTGGTATATCCAATTGAGTTTATGGTCTATTGAGACACCTAGTATTATTGGATCAATATTCATATATTCCAATTTACAGATAAGTTGCGGATGCCCAACAATCATACTGTTACATTTACAAGGATTAATAGTTAAACCATGATTTTGTGCCCATTCATTCAAAGTTAGTAGATCCTGGTTAACTTTAATAATTGCGAAAGAGAACGAGAGAGAAATATTGAGTGAAAGAGTGAGTGAGAGGAGAGATAGAGGGAGGGAGAGGAAGAGTGAGTGAGAGGAGTGAGAGAAAGAGAGAGAGGGGAGAGAGAGAGAGAGAGAGAGAGAGAGAGAGAGCGAATTATAAGCCTTCAATAGTAATCGTGCAAATGCATTATGTTATTAATATTGCATTGTTTTTAGATTTTTTGAATATTAAAAAAAATATAATCATACAGTGCATTGCGATCACATACATAAAATATCACTCAAATTATTGCGAACCCGCCCAATTTTGTCGGTGACCCATTTTGGGGGCAGCTGTATTCCAAATAGTGGCCCTTTAGCAGTATTGTCCTTAATTTCTAATTAATGCCGTTTTGGACCTTTCTCAGTAATTGGGGCGTCGGTGGAGGGTTCATTTCTAGAAGTTTATCGTTCACTTATTTGAGTGCCTTCGCGTCCCATCAGGGATCGGCATTGATTCGCCGAACGGGGCCATCTTGATTGCCGGTTTCCATGTGGATTTCCACTTTCCCGTCGGCCGGGCAACGACTCCTCCGATCCGAATCCGTCGATCTCTCTCTTTTATGCTGCAAGACGCTTCTAGAATAAAAATATCGATTTCTCGGAATTGTACGAGGGGACAATCGTCCGATGGTGGGGGCAGGCTTTCCGACCTTGCGGGGTTGGAAACACCCCTCTACCGGCGAGCCCGATTTTCCCCTTCGCTCGCCCTCACGGCATCGATTCCCGGCCGACAGTACTAAAACAGCTGTGGGCACGTCCTCTTGCCCCAAACAACCTCATCCAATGTTAAGCCTTCTTTGTAAGTACATAGTGCTTAATTATTCACAACGTTTATTTTTAATTTTCATGTTTTAGTCTAGCGATTCAATACACTGGGTATACTTGGACGTGGTAGAGTATATTTTTGTTTTATCGTTCTCCTTCGGGAATATTGAATTTTTCTATTTGTACAAGCGTGTTTATCTCTGTACTATTGAGTGATTTAACGGGACAGTTGATTTGATTCGTGTCGGTCCCTTCGCCGGGGTGGGAGTACCCTTTCCCGGTGCAACAGGTTGAAACCTTGTGATCAATATTGTGTAGGCGTCGACTCCCTGGGAAAGTGACGGCAGTCCCTCCGGAGAGGACTCGCATAACAACTGCAAACCTCAGCATAAACAACGTTTAATTAATTAACATTTTATTATTTATTAATTAATTAACGTGTCAAACACCGTTTATTAGAAATGAATACATTCATAAATAGAAATCCGCTGATTTTACTAATTGTTGAATCAAACGCACGCGCGTTCAGTCGCGTTTTCGACTGGTATGAAACATTAGAACCGTTTTCTCCTTTCACGATATTATAAAATAAAACGCCCCATAAAATTTAGTTGAATGCTAATAAATCAATATTGGGATGTGAGCGGAAAATTATTTGTTGTAAAATAATAACTCCAAGTAGAATGAAAAAAGAAAGTAATAGATGCATACTAAACTGATTTGTTTGACTAAGTAAACATAAAAGGTGAACAATTTCTCGCTATAAGTTATGTATATATTTTCCTTACATAAATTAAGTGAAATTGGTATTACAAACGAACATTATTTGGGGGCGTCGGTGGCCGCAACGGTTTAGGCGTTGACACGGCGCTCATCACTGTACGGTAAAGGTCACATGTTCGAATCCAGCCCCCTGCATTCAAACCCGACATACCTACAAATTTGTTTTTCCAAAAACACCGGCACCACGAGATTCATATAACCTGATAGTTGAAATACCATCGTAAAAAATAAAAATAAAAAACCGAACATCCTAAAAACATTAGTTTGATAACTAATATATACTAGAAAATAAATTTATAAATTAATTGTAATAATTCAATTGGTTATTGAGAATTAACTAGGATCATCATTTTGTGAATTTATGTGTTTATGATCAAACTAAAAAGTTACTAGTTTATGTGGTTTTGAAATTACCATGATATTCATAGCCCTGTCTTATATGGTGACAATGAGGTATATTTACAATTATTATTTACGTTGCAAATATGTTATAATAATAAAATTTAATAGTAATATGTTACAACAACTGTGTGTGAGTGTAACGATTGGTTAAACGTTTTATTTAACAACGCAAAATTACGTTGAGAGAGAGAGAGAGAGAGAGAGAGAGAGAGAGAGAGAAAGAGAGATCAGATAAATAGATGGATAAATAGATCATAGTGTCTAAGAAGGAGAATATTGCCACCAAATTCGGTGATTAGATCCGGCTGGAGAAGCATAGACTTTGCAGGAGGCCAGCGTAGTCCTAAAGTGGTTACTTTAGGGCTACGGTGGCCTCCGGCAACATTAAGCGTTACCTCGCTGATGCAATTCCCAAAAAAGGTGTTCGACAGACTGGGTAGTTGCACGAGCAGGCAGGCACTATGTTTAACCGAATACGATAAGCTGCGTTTGTCCCATGATCTGACCCATGACCCTTTTAACCAAGGGATGTAGACATAGCAACGTTGCTGAAGCCTTGATAGAAGCAGTCTAATGTTCTCGAGGAGTGGTAGGCGGATTTTTCATTTCTCATGGAATCTATGTTTTTACTCTTGAGTTTTCTGTTGCATAATGTATTAACCGTTTATAGCAATTTCAGTCTTGTTAATGGAGCAATTGCAGTCCAATCTAATTTTTTCTTGACAATATCTCCTTCCGACTGAAACAATATGAATGCCCATCCGACTCTGTCTTTCTCTTTGCTGCCAACTGTGAAGATCTCCATATGAAAGGGCCCTTGTTGATGTTTATTGCAGGAAAATTGGTAGGTTGCTGCCTTTTTTTAAATGTATTGACTTGTCGAACATAATTCCACTTAGCCCTTCTACTTCTTTGCCGTCTTTGATTTTATTGAGGAGTATTTCTTCTTCAGCATGAATTAGGATTGGTTTTATCCCAGAAATGATACAAACAGCCAAATATGAGATTGTGCAATACACCTTTATGATTCGCAACAATAATTTCCTTTCGACCCGTTCTATTTTTTTTGCTATTTTTTTCCAGCTTCAGGGAGGATTCCCATATTGGAATGGAATGACATAACAAGCATAAATAATACTTTGTAAATTATTTTTAATGTATATTTTTTACCTTTTTTCTCTACCTAAAAAGTTTTTTTTTTAATTGGAGAAGCTTTAAATTAAGGACACTCTTTTTAAAAAGAGAAAAAAATGTTAAAAAATATACATACTAATTTACCGAAGGGAATTCAACGACAATAATTAAAAAACTTAATAACAAGTGTTTTTAAAGCGTTACTCCCTAGACCCAAATGAACCTTAGCTCTCGAAAGTGTGTTGACCATTTGCCAGCTTTTCTCGCAGATGTAATTTAAATTTATTACCTGAGCATTGCTTTCATTGGTCGAGTTTTTCTAAATAGGATTTTGTGGAATGATTTTCGTTTTAACATTGCGTTTCTGAATAACGGATCCTTCTCTAATTTTTACAAACACAAAACTTAATATGACCTCCAAGGGTTTTTAAATTTAATTTGAATTCTGCACCAGTATTAAATCGCCAATTGGAAAGGCAGTCATACGAATTTTATTGGATATCTTAAACAAGACCGAGTTCTGGAACTCGTAGTCTCCCTGTTCACTGGTACTACCTGAACCATTTCGACGCTGTCCACTTATTACATACAGGTTAGGATGTACTGGTTATGCTAGATGATGTACACCGTTCTCTTCTAATTGGAAACGAACCACCCAACAGGTTTGTTTTCCACAAAAAAATTAACTACCAGTCTCAATAAACCTATCAAAAACAACTTTTCCCAACGTACAGACCATACTTTTTTACGTGTTCATAAAATGGTGGGGCGAATTGTTTGTTTATATAATACTGCGCAAAATTTTTATCAAATTAAATCGATTATTTGTACAGAAGAAAGGAAGCAAGTTCTTGAAATTCATCAGTTTTAAAAGTAGGGACACAACGAAAAGTTCTGTACTATTTTCTGACCAGCTTAATGACTGGATGCTTTGTGAAAGGTCTAAAGCGGGATGGCTCATCGACGCAATTAGACTGGCAATAACAAAATCGATATTCTACCGTATTGTCTGGAGTTTAATGCCGTGTCGAAAGCTGGGAAGGGCAAAAGAGGAGACAAGGATCGATGGGGTGACATTAAACTAACCTTTATTTTCTAGACCGATACCGCGGTTAATAAAATTAAATAAAAATCACGTTACACAACGTATTACAAATTGTGAGATATTTTCATTATTACTAATATCATTGCCTGACAAATCCGTCCTTATTTTATTATTTTACTAGAAAGTGAAGTGCAAAGCTAGAGATGTTAAGAGTCAAACGTCAACGTCCTTTCCCATCCCTTATTTTGAAGCACCACAGTTGTGAAGTTTACCACGCATATAAAAATAAAGAGTTCATCCCATAAGAAAGCTTTGAAGTCTCTGAAAAGTTAAACAAACAAAAATGTTCAAGAGAAACCGTAAAAAAGAATTCTAACTTTTATGAAAGGTCTCGTCCTCCTTCTCCAAATAAACGCACTATTGAAGAAAAATCAGTTGAATACAAAATATCCTTGAAATTCTTTTAATTACGCATGGTCAAAAATGTCGCTATTTCAACACCCAAGTATTTTCTAACATTTCAAATTTGCCCCTCAACGCATACATTCGCTAAATCAGCGAGACCCATTAATCCGAAGTACACTGCTGGCTCAGTCAATTATCAGTCGGTATTTTAAGTCGATTTATTGATAACTTCAATAATTGAAAAGTCTAGACGACGAGGCAAATTATTCCGTAAAATTATCTCTTTATAATAAACCATTCTTAAAGTAAGATTTATCTATAATAGTGGAAGATTAAAAAATACAATTAACGAATGTTTAAATAATGAAATGAACATCAAGCCCTGATGTCAAAGTTTATGGTGCTTTGTAAGCAGTGAAATAATTTATGGCCTAACCTTGTGAACTCGGATCGATTAGTGATTGCTTGATATACGGAATTAAAGCTGCTTTCTCTTCCAATTGAAGGTTTCAAGAAAAAAGTTCGATTCACAATACAAAAGTAAACGTTTATTTAATCAGACAAAAAGGAATATTTTATCATATTTAAATAAAAAAATACAATCGTTATAAAGTATTGCTAGAAGCCACGAACAATCGTATCTGTACATGTCATCATTACGCAAAGATAAATTTCGAAAAATACCAATTTAAAAAACAACAAAAACACAAAGACATAGAACGCACAAAAGATATAACAATTTATATAAATGACAAACATAGATTTTTATTTGCATATTTCAATTAAATAAAACAAGATTATCATAATCACGAAGGGCTTGCCTTTTCTGATTTTGTTCGAAATATAAAATTTGTCTCTCAAAATTTTATTTTGGTTAAATTGATAGCAATTTTTAAATATTATATTAGATAATCAAAGGTACGAATTCTGTTCAGACATATTACATCTGATTTGAGTATATTTTGTAAAAACATAGATTAAAAATTTGTGTTAAAATAACTTATACTAATAAAATAAAATTAAAAAATAAATATAAATTGTGTGGTAGAAGCCGAACTGGAAACGAACATGGATGTCTCATTTGCAATTGAGTTATTCTTTATATTTTATATTTTTTGTTACTTTCCACAACTTAGTTCTTGCTCAAATTAATTGTATTTTAGATACATGCTGTAGATTTAAAAATAAATCATTAACTTAATTGTATTTATTACAATCTACACGTTATGTAATTTAATGGATATTTACAATATTATCAAAGGAGATACATCTTACTTTTATGTTTTGAGAAAGGGGAGTTAAATTGAAAAGCATTGTTGTTCTTCCAACTTTCCGACAAAACTGACCCTCGACTAGGGTAGTCGCTAGGCCATCAGCCGCTTCAGTCGCCTGATAGAGTTATAAGGTGGTTTCTAATAGGGATTAAGCAAATCGATCGCCAACAGTGGGAGGAGAGTTTATTGTGGAACGTGGAAAAATATATTTTGGCTGTATTTTATAAGTGAATGATTTTTACTTCATTGGGAGAGTGATTTTGGTGACTTAGTAGGACGTGTTAAAGAACTTTGGATGTTTGAAGGCGTAATGGGCCCAATTTTAGTACGTACGTCCAATATAATATTATTTTCTAGATTATCACTTTATTTTGTCTACACGTTTGATTTGCGTGCCAATAATTTGCCGAGTAGCCATAAACTTATGGCATTTCAGCCGTTTGTGTTGGTTTGAGTTCAGTCGGCAGTCCAGGTCGAACCTATCATCGGACGCAATCTGCTTTTTAGTGATGGGAGTATTATTGAGTAACACTGTATAAGTGGTTTTGCTTCGAAGGATAAATGGTATAAGGGTGCTTATGCTGTTATTAGTAATGCAGGACATGTACCTGGAGCTTCTCCAATTCTAGGATCGGGATGCTGTAGAAATTAGGTACACGTCTATTATTTATTACAAAGCAGGATCCCTAGAAAGAATCCGTGCCATTAAAAAAATATTTATGATATTGAACAAATCATCGGAGAATTTTAAGAATTTTAATCAAAATTGTTGTTTTGGGTGAACCACCTGGAAACAGTGAGGATAGGCAGTCCAAAATGATAGAAAACGATCAAGCCACAGGTTATCACCCCGCAAACTTCAAAAGCAAATTTTACAATTTACAATATGTGCTATTTACAATGACGTACTACATTTGAACCGATACTAATCAAGACTATTGCTTTCAAAATGTAAGATCATACTATTTTGTTTTTCAGGTGATGGGAGTACTGGGGGCAGTGCTGGTTCTTGCCACGTGTCTGGCGCTGTTCCTGCTCTGCCTCAAGTTTCGTCATTTGTGCACGTACTTTTTAAGTTGGCTTCCATCCAATAGAGAAGAAAAGGCCGCACTGACAAGGCTGAAAGGCCATTACAACGCAAACGGATACCTGGTGAGTATCGGCGTCGGATCTCAGAAAACTTTACTCGTTTTTCCCCGTTTTTTTTCCCCCAGGTCGGTTCCGATTCCGATATAAGGCTGGATTGGACAGGTTCTTTCAGGAGATTCGAGTCGGTGGATTCAGAGGGTGCTCTCGGCGGAGCGACCGCACCCTCGCCGATCCCTCCGCAGCCGCTGAGGCCGGCCCCCGACATCTTCGGTACTCACTCCAGCCCACCTCCGCTCACTTCGCTCGCTCAACCCACAAGTCATGTAAGACGACATCTCTTGGTTGTATTTTTTTGTTAGTGCACCTGAAAGGTCTGGGCACCTGATCTTCGATAAAATGTCTGCCGGTGCAATTCCCGTAACGGGGAGTCAGTGTTTTGCGTAAATCTTTATCGGGCCAGGGAAATCGGTGCTAATCGTGGGGCCGTCAAGTTGACCAACTTGACTAAGTTGATATCTTTGCAAGAGGAATATAATCTTCCTTTTGTCATTAATTTTATGGGACAAAACGAAAATAATTTAAATTAATTTTTGGTGGTAACTAAATAGCTAGTTTGGTAGATACAAATAAACATATTCGTGTATATTCTAATTGTTTTAAGAATTGAAAATTGACAAACGATTCAACATTGAGTTAATTTGAAATTTAAGAATAATTGGCAAGTCGAAATTACCGGTAAAGTTTTTCCCAGTCGTTTTAAAATTTCTGAATCTGGAGATTAAATCAAAAATTTAAATCTTGTATGCGGATCCAGACTTTAAATTCTGAGTTATATAAATTTCTAAAAAAAATTGGATTGCTGTTGCACCGCCTGGGGTTCTTTGTAGTTGCGACAAGTAATGCAAATCTGGCAGACTCCCAAACTCTTTCGTTTTGTCGTAGTATAGCAAAAAATTATCGAATGTGTGAAACGTTTTTCTAACATTTACTGGCGATTGGGTGGAAACCAGATCCAAAAAAACATTTCTTCCTAATTTGTACCCTTGTTTATTTTATATCGGATATAACCTAACAGTAGGGAGCGAAGTTGGTCGCAACTGTTTAGCTGTAGACAGGACGCTCATCGCTGTAAGGTCCGGGGTTCAATTCCAGCGGCCCTGCACCAGACTTACAAATTTAACAAAACACCGGCACCCCGGGGTTAATATAATCTCTGCTGTTGTGAAATTTCATAAAACAATACGTTATATAATGTTAACTTATATTATTATTACTTACCTCCATAAGTTATTAGATTAGTGAGTACTAATTTGTACATATTAGAAATTTGTACGAATACATTAATGGCATAAAAAATTAAATATATTAACTTTAATACAAATGGCTCGACTTCTCGCTTTTTAATAATATTATAAAGTTGGCTGCTTTTTTAACATAAACTGCGTTAATGTGTTAATAATTAGTAGGAGCGGTGAAATTTGATGACAACATTACTGGTTCGTAAAACCTCGCTTGTTTTCCAGATTCGTTACAATTTAATGCCTCCAGATGGTTAACATTGTTGTATAAAGCAAGTCATACAGATAAGTGTACGTACATGTAAGATAATGATGATTTATTTTAATTTCTATTTTCTTGGGTGATTGATCAGCCTTCTCAGTTTAAATATATTTTTTTCTTTCCGAAATGTAGATTGGGGATGAGGCCAGGAAGACAGAAACAACATTTATTTTCTTGTCGAGCTTTCGGCAGAATATATCGCCTTCATCAGGACTTCGAAAAAAATCGTAATACTATATGAACAGGTACATCACCGGCTATCCGTTATCCACACATTTTTTTCGAAGTGCTGATGAAGGCGATATATTATGCCGAAAGCTCTACATGAAAATAAATGTTGTTTCTGTCTTCCTGGCCTCATCCCCAATCTACCTTTTGGAAGAAAAAAATATATTTTAATTTACTTTGGTCACCTCAGGTGAAATATACGTATATGTGGTGCGTGTCCTATTCAAAACGCCGTAATTGCTAATATCTCAAGTAAAAACGTCCGAAGCAACAATCCGATTTTTCTTTTTAACTTCTAGTTTATAAATATAATTTGTTGAAGTCGAAAGGAGCTTTCAATAGACCTAACACTTGTCAATATCAGAGAAAAATGGCACGTCATAACACTACACACGTCTCTCACAAGCATCCTTCGTAACTATGTTACGACACTGCTGTTTACCCCCTAAGCTGCTAGCAGGTATAGTGATGATACACTGTTATTATACAGCTACCTTTCACGTTACTCTTTCTCACAAAATACAGTGATGAAATCGTAACAGCAGTACCCTCAGACTAAATGCAAACAACTTCAATACGTTTAACAACTTTCATCCTCGCTTACAATTCACACATGATGTCAAAACAGAAAACAAATTAAGACAAACAGATAGTACATTAGCTACAGATTGGCACCAAAAACCAATGAACACAGATCACAACCTCAATTATTCATCACACCACTTCCTACACACAATAATAAAGGCTAAAAAATTATTACACAGAATGATATCCTTAAGGCCATAAATCCTTTCACCTAAAATATATTCAAACATACAAACAAATGTTACATAACAATAACTATCCTAAAGACATAATTAACAATTATACCTCAACACTACACAAAACACCCTCCTCTAAAGTATACAACACATCGACAACCCTATCACAGAAAAACCTGTTTGTACGTGTCCCTTCCATTCGTCCTCACATTGTCACACAAATTAGTACATTTCTCTCCTCAGGCCACATTAAAATAGCCTTCAAAATCCACAAAACAATACACTCACTTTTTCTAAAATCAAAGACCCAGCACCAGTACGAATCCGATGTAATTTATAAATATGTGTTTTTAGTGATTGGTTGTTTAATAATTTATTGAAGTCGTGAAGAGAGGTTATGAATAAGGTAATTTAAAACAACACTTTTTTTCACTTTTTGTACCGACGTATAGACCTTTTGTTTCTCACAACGATTTCACATAAAACAGATATGAACACTACATGAATAGCACCACACTTTATACCAAGAACATGACCCGAATAAGGCTGGAAACGTCGGAAAATAAATGAAAACATTGTTTTTCTAACTCACTCTTGCCCACTTCTCAAGACATCAACAAATTAGTAATTTATAGCATTAATTGTATGAACCGTCCAGCTTGAAATTACATCGAAATATCTGGAAATATGAAAGTAACAACCTACCTATTATTGAAAACACCACCAATTAATCCCACAGCTTTGCCCTTACACCATTTTGAAAACAACACAACTTTGATTTCGACAAAATAGAAATGCTAAACACTGAAAAAAATACAAATGTAACTTTCTTGAAATGGCTCACATTAACAGAGATACACACTGACGCACAGCATTAATTACAGAACAATTACATGCAAACTCAGCTGTGGTTACGCCATCATAAACCAAATAAACCATTATATATTTTTATATTTCCCTTTCCTTCGTTATCGTACTTCTTTTCCAAATTGGATAAACAACGTATCACAAATCCAATGGTTAAATTATTAGCCGTACAACTGCCCTAAGGCGCGCAAGGTAAACACTTCTGCAACAGTCGCAAGTCTTGCGGGCTTAGTATACACGGCCCCCTTGATCAAGCCTCGATCACAAATACCTTTTACGTAATTAATTGTTTTCTTTGTATAATCAAGTAATAACCAATCATGTAGAGAAAGAGAGAGAGAGAGAGAGAGAGAGAGAGAGAGAGAGAGAGAGAGAGAGAGAGAGAAAGAATTTTTTTTTATTAATATACCATATTATTACAAGTAAAGTAATTAGAACCATTGAATAACATATTAAAGAGATTTACTACATATCGAGTTTCAAAATTTCACGCTGTTGTCAAAATATTTACAAAAAAATGTAATTTTCTTATTTACTACGATAATATATTGAAAAGTTACAACGCAAGTTGACCACGGTGACCTTGTAATAGGTTTTAATCTATTTTTATGCAAGTACAAATTTTGTCATGTTTATATTTTTTACATTACTATTAGGGCGTAATTTTAAATGTAGTAACTCATGTATTTAAGACGTTTTAACATAACATATAATAATAGGATGTTGAAGCCCCTGACACGTCGGAAGGCGTTCCAGTTCTCGGGCGGGCCATTTCCTGCGATTCTGTGTCGAGCGTCACATCGATTGCTGCTCAAGATTTGGTAGAGCCGAACATAGCCGGATATCTGTGCATAGGAATTGACTACGACTGGTAATTTCTAAAACGTTGTGAATTCATGTTGTATCTTGTCTGATCATTCCTGTTAACAGCGAATGCGGAGATTTAATGGTGAATGTGATTGAGGCGAAGGACCTGGTATGTAGAGACTTCCCGGTATCACCAGATGGCCTTATGGACACGTTTGTATCAGTCTACTTACTGCCTACGAGAACGACGGACATGCAGACAAGGGTACTCTCTGAACTGAACCACCGGTAAAACTCGCTTTTGACGACATGTATTTTTGTAGACTTATAGGAGCAGCAGGAGTCCAAGCTACAAGGAGAAATTCCTCTTTGGTCTGGAGGTGACGGATTTCTGCAGAAGCTCCGTCATGTTCCAAGTCTACGGAGCGAAACGGGAAGGAAACTCTCTGCTCGGTCAGGCGAACCTCCATCTCGCCGACGTTCCTACACGGCAACCCATCACCACCTGGCTCACACTCTACCACACCGAAACTGTAAGTTGGACACTATGAACTATACATTTTATTTCAAAAGGTCTTGAATTTCAAAGCCCACTGAACGTCTTATTCCAAAACATGACAATTTTGTTTTGTATCAGATTCAAACTCCAATATTAATATAACATCTGGATTTCCTTCCTTTATCAATGAACTAAAAGAATGATTCTTTTTACTATACCAAATTTAATTGATAAAATTTTAAAATATAAATACAATTGTATAATCGTACAATAAACGACGTTTAAAAGCGTTTATTATAACGAAGTTTAATGGTTGCGTCGGGGGACACATCGGTTAAGGTGCTGACACAATGGACCCATGTTGAACCGGCACAGGGTCACTTACTGGCCTATCTCAACTTGCGGGTTTTTTGAGTTATTAAAACGCATTTCGGCATTGCTTCCTGAAGTGGAGTTCCTCACTGGCGGAAGATGGCGCAATACCGAAACGCGTTTAAATAACATAAAAAACCCGCGAATGGAGACAGACCCAGTAGTGACCCTGCGCCGGTTCAACATTAGTTCACCGACCCGCAGACCAAAACTCACCATCAACAATGGATATTGTTAGGTCACAACGGACAGGGAGGTTTTCAAAGCATCAAAGAACCCCAGAATGAAAGAATCTACAAGTTAAATGTCAAAAATATATATTTTACATGCAAATAGTTTTACTTCAGAAAAAATATTAAAATAAGAGGGTTCTTAAGTAATAACAAGTCTCGTCTGTATTAACTTTGATAATATTTACACAGATTCGTGGAAACGTTTATAACATCACGCTAATGTTGAATCGAGTCGTTTTGTCACCGTGCAGAGTCTGCCAGGAATAATTCTCACGTTTGAAATAGATTTTTCAAAGAGACAAAATATCGCACAAAGCGTTCGTAAAAAAAATCGTCATCGCCTTTTTTCAACTCATCTGATCTATTTAAAGAATCAAAATCCAAGTGAGATGATAATCAACACTTTAGAGCTAGAATATGTCAATTTGAGTTTAAACTCCGGACGCTGCCCCTGGCTTGGACGGTAGTGTAAACGGGCATTTCGGGAGCGTCGTGCTCAATTTCTTCGAGTCGTAAACGGCTGCCGAGCGAGACCCACCGCGACGGGTGCGGTGGCTCCTCTGCAGTCGGAACTTCTTCGGTCTGGCCTCTTCCGAGCGACACGGAATCCACGTTGTATTTGGCGGGTTCCAACGCGAGGGAAGACGTCTCATGGAACTGGGCAGACCAGGTCTCTTTGCTGCAGCTCGACCTGGCGGGCATCACAGACTCGGATTCGAACCGGTTTCTCAGAACTGAGGCGGCGATCGCCTCGTCCACGCACTCGTACAAGATCTCGCTAATCTCTTCTCGGATGTCTCTGCTCTGAAGGGGTTCCGTTTCGATCGGGCCGGAAACCGCAGGCTCGTTGTCGGCGACCGACGCGGCGACAGACGCGGCGACAGACGGAACGGTGATCGTCTCTTTTCTCGAGCTAGATCTTCTCATCTTCCACAGCTTCTGCCAGAGGGACCACTTCCTCGCGCTGGACCGGCTCAGACTCTGCCCTTCCGTGTAACTCGTCTTCCCTTCTCCGTAAACCACTTTGGAACAACAAGTGGCCATCGCTCCCATTGTCGTCTTTTATAAACACACCAATAATTTCCTTGCTCCAACTTCAGTTCTGATTTGGTAAATTTCTTCCTTTTAAATTCTGCCCGGCACCTGAATTTGATTCGTCTTATGAGAAAATAATTTTTACCAAAAGTAAATAAATTTCATTATGTAAAGTCATATGTGTAATTTAAGCTCAACTGTTTATTTTTTTATAATGTTAAAAACTATGTTATTTCTACAATACAGAAAATAATTTACTCCGATCCTTGTTGGAAAGTATTTGCACACTTTCAGAAAAATTAAATTTGTTTTCAGATTCATTGTTTCTACAATGCCGACAATTTTTACGTACAAAGTTTACAAATAAGTTAATAAACTCCTCAAAAATGTATAGGGATATTGCCAATTTTTTGTCTATTTACTTTTCTAGCATTTTTAGTTTATTTTTCATTATAAATTCCATTAAAAGTGATTAGAAATTATTGTTTTTATATTGAAGGGAAATTTATTTAAGGGATTTTGAAAAATAACAAATAAAAGATTTTAATTCCATAATTTTATTTATCGGGCATAATAATTTTTTTATACAATTAATACTGTGTACCTCTGTTAGAAAAAAACCTCTGTGCACTTGTTAGGTATACTGTAGTTGTCCATAAGGAATTTCACTCCACAGATGTTACAACGCTGCACTCAGTTGTTGCAGGTCAACTGGCTGCAGATCGTGTTCGAAAAGACTTTCTCCAACGCAACTCACATGTGCTTAACGGGATTGAGGTCTGGAGGGAGTCAATGGGGGAAGGGGCAGATGGGAAAGTCATCAAGTCAAACATTAATGAACAACTCTGCCTCTGCCATTGTCATCCAGAAATGGGAAATCCCTGCCCATGAGATCCCTTTGTGTTATTCCTTGATTATTTCTTGGACATAACGGACTGCGGTGAGGTTGCCTTCAACAATGTAGAGTCCAGTTCCTCCTCCAGTGAAATCCCAGCCCACACCGCATCACCCCGCCTCGTACAAACTGCACTGAGAGAGAACGAATTGTACGATGTGAAGCCAATTTGTTATGTTGATAAAGGTATTGCCAAAACATATTGTACTTCATTTAGGTTCTGGCGGGCACACATCCTTCTTGAAGCAATGACAATATTTCTGTCCTCTCTTAGCAACGTAAAGCGCTGAGATCCACTACTCCTAGTGACAATTCCGGCCTCTCGGAATCTGGGCTAAAGCCCGGGAGCCCATGCTCTGAGAAACATCTACTGCCTCTACGATATCCACTTGCCTCGTGACCTCTATGACTCACTCCCAAAAAAATATTGCGGACTTCTCGTTCAAGATGATGACTTCCCATGGTTAAAGAGAATACTACTGGATTAAAATGTTGAAAAGACGAGAAAATGTGTTTGTTTAAAAAAAGAGTAATCTTCATGTTCATGTTTACTAATCTTAAGTAAATCCGTTATTAAAAATAAAGATTAAAATTTGTTTCTTTTTGGTTTGTATTTTCGGTTTTGTTTTATCCAACTAACAAGAATATATCGGTTAATTTAATTAAAATTAATGAAATAAAAATAAATTACGAATGTCCCTATTCATTTTGAGCAGTTTAGATTGAAAATTCGTTCCTTTAGGGGTATTGGAATTCCAGAAGGTATTGTATTTTGACGTTGTTAGAATTCGATTATATTGTAAGAAAACGAGTTTTAGTTTTGTTCGGCTTTATTGTTTACCCGTTTGAAAAGTAACCACCTCATTGTTTGCACTTTATTCTTGTTTTTGTCTGTGTTGGCTGGTTTCTGTGTTGAAAGTAAGAGTGCGTGTGTTTTGATAAATAATATTTTATCTGCTTGCCCATGAACTGAAAGGCGTATTCAATGTCGTCGGTCAATATTTGTACTTTCTGTTGATGTCGTGAGGAACGGTCGGGAATAAATTATTTTAGAAAAACACCTTTTTCATTTTTTGCCAATGTTTCGACCAATATTCGGGTCACGTTCAGGATATAAATTGTGGTGCTATTCTTGTGGTGTCATATTTGCTTCGTTTAAAATTGTTGTGAGAAACAAATATTACACCACAATAATATCATTACATTTTATGTCCTAAAGGTGACCGGAATAAAGGTCCAAACGTTGACAAAAAATGGAAAAGGTGTTTTTCTAAAATACTTTATTCTTGACCACTTTTCAAGACATCAACAAATTAGTAATTTATAAAGTTAAATATTGAACGACCGGTAATAAAATAACAATCCAATACAACCGGTCACTAAAAACACATATTTGTATTTTTGTTTTTCTCTCTGGCCCGGTCAACAATTTCAATCTCGCATGTACCGGCCAAATGAGTAAAGTTTATGGTGTAATGAAACCGTCCATCTTCGTCGTGCACTGCCAATGAATTCATTGACGGTTACACGATACCAAATAACGCCAATGTGGTCGACAAAATGCTTCCGCCGACGGTTTAATCTTCAGCCACAAGGAACTTCGCAAGAAGGCGAACACGGAAACACGAACGGCGGTGAAAAGCGAAAAATAAACAGATCGACTATTCGAATGTTGGAATTATGAAATCACTAATTATTCTAATTAATTAAGTCCTTTTTCTTTGATCCTTTATAAATTGAATTAACAGTATGATAAGTTATCAGGAAACTTAACTAACGTAAAACGTCGTACGTGCAATGCCATACGTATTTGTCATTGGTAAAGTGATGAAAATAAATATTGAATATGATGATTTTTGTTTTGATTAATATTCAGTGGTTTATTGTCGTGTAGCGACTTTTTGTTTACTGAAAGAAGGGGTTGAATAATGACAATGACATGAACAGACAAAACATTTATATTTTACAACTTAAAATAATTACACTAAGTTACTGAAGAAAAAAAATATATATGAAAGGTAGTAGCTATGCTTAAACTTGACGCCTGGAATGCTGGAACTTGAATGGGGGTGAATCATATGTGCATTGTTAGGTTTTTTAGGGTTTTTTTTGGTAGTGGTGGAAACATGTCACCATTGTGCCACAGTGGCATTAATTGTTGTTGTAAAATAAAGGCACAGAAATGTTTGTTCAAGAAGATTCGTATTTTAATGATAAGTGGGAAAACCAAACCAAATCAAATAGTTTAAAAAAGTTAATGTACGATGCAGAACATAGAAGTTATTGTATACAGCATTCAAAACATAAATGTATATTTTTCGTTAACTCAAAATTAAACGAGTACAGTTGTCGACAATTATATCCGTTTGCGTACTGCGTACCTAAAGTAGGTGAACTCAAACCATTGTTCATTAAATAACTTAATTTCGCTACCTCTTATTAATTTTGCCTAAGTGGGAGCATTGTATTTTGAGTTGTATAAAGAACAATTGTTAATTTTAAATCAAAGTTGTCCAATAAAAGCAAAGTCTGTTGTTTATATTTGTTCTATAACAAGTGTAGAAAAATATTAAATTTCTGTAATTAGTTAATAAACAAATAACGCAAGATTTTGTAAATTGTTAATACGGTGTTCAGTCAATATTGCTGTTATGTAATCCGGATTCGCACGCATATAATTGTTTTATGCTTTGCAGTCGCGTTTTGACATTCTGCCATTTGACCAGGTATGATCAGGAACGATTGCTTAGCTTGTTATGTTTACTTTCTAATATTATACATCCAACGATAAAAAAAATCATAAAAAATTATGTATACATTATTTATTTGTTTATTAATTCCCATAATAAGTAGATATAAAGATTAATAGTTGAGTTTACATTTGTATACAATACATCTGTATACATTAATAACTTGTTGTTTACATTTATAGTGGTGCTAACCTTTTTACACACTTTAATATAAAGATAAAGAAAATCAATTTAATTTCACCTTTTCCAGAGCCAACTTGTCGAGTGAGTTAATTTGTTTTTCAAATAGTTTTCTTTGATGAAACAACAAATTGGAGTAAAAAATTAATAATAAATTATTCTTTCTTAAAAGAAAGTTTTCAATAGTAAAATCCTATGTAACCGATCGCTGCTTTAGAATGAGATGTGACAACGAGTTTTTCGAACTCTGTACAAAACATTACTTCGACCTATTTGGGCGTACGGAGCGGAACTGTGAGGTAGCATCAAGCCATTTAACAACCAACGAAACCAAGCGTTCCACTCAAAAATCCTGAGAAAAATTCTCATAACTCCTTACTCTGTCTCCAATCTCACTATCCATATTTACCTTAACATTCCATTCGTCAAAGAACTGATCTGCTCGGGCTTCCTGTTTCGCTTCAACCTTTCAACTTATCCTAAACACTACTGCTCAAGCCCTCTCCACTTTTACCCATCCCAAGAATTCTCACTTCACCTCAAATGACAATGGCTACGTGACATCCTCGCCTGACCCCGATGGTTTTTCGGTGTTTTGTTGAATTTTCTTTCAAACCGTCATAATCACAAATTTTTATTAAAACATGAATTTCTGATTCAATTTGATTTGCGTTAAAATAAGTATGTTGAAATTGATATAACGATAACAATACATTCAGTTTGAAATAAACAACAAAATACTAGTGTCCCGTTTTAGTCTTTGAGTGTATGCCCGGTTAATTGTCTTTGAGTTTATACAAGGTTCATATCCTTTTTAGATGGTCCGGCTGAAAAATACGTGTTTAATATTTTTTAGTCTAGTTTCAGTTTTTTCCTTTTTTCGAGAAAAATTATTCAGGGTATCTCAGGCGAACATAAAGTAAAATGTTCAAATATTGTTCTCGTCAAAATTTCGATGCCGTTTTCTTTTTGCCATAACTTTGCCATTTTTTTGACCAATTTACAATCCGATTGCACCATCGTTTTTGGCGTAAAACCCTTTAAAATTATGTATCAGGATGTATAGGGTCGTATTTGAAATATTGAAGATGAACTGCCTCCGAGATACTTTGTATATTTTTTCTCCAAGAAACGCAAAAATTTGAAACTAGACTAAAAAATATTAAGCACGTATTTTTTTATGGAATCAAGAGAGTTCAAAAGAAATTCTGCCTGCCCATCTAAAAAGGACAGCCTATATATTGTGATTTTGATACTATAGTCGTTTGACTCATACCATGTGACATATTGTACAAGTATATTTCTATTATACGTTTTGATTATGGTGTAATGTTATATGATATCACATTATCACATCATATGGCATTTTTGATTAGTACAGTAAATAATAATATTAATAGTACACGGTGACATATGATCTGGCTTAATATGTACCATACTATGTATACACTATACGAACCGTTGTAATCAAAACAGATTGGTTAATGTATTGTATTGCATCAATACAGATCTGTATATTGTTCTCACGTTGATTTTTTACTTCATTTATTGGTAGTTTGATACATTGCACTTAGTCGATTGACTTGTTAAATTATAGCTATTTTCATTGTCTGACGACAATCATGTTTTAGAAAGAGAACGCTTTGGGAGAAATACTCTTCTCATTGAGCTATCTTCCGACGGCGGAGAGACTGACTGTCGTCATCATAAGAGCACGCAATCTGAAGTTTTCCCAAGCGACTGCTGACCCCTACGTTAAGGTCGATTAAATGACTTCTATTTCGGCATTACTGATTAAATAACAATCTATCAATCCAACAGGTTTATTTGTTGAAAAACGGCAAGAAAGTGCATAAAAAGAGGACTCAGACGAAGAAAAACGACGCCAGCCCCATATTTAACGAAGCGATGATGTTTAACGTTCCAAACAGCCTTCTTCAGGTCGGTAGCACCTTCGTAAAATAATCTATTTTGATTTTGTTTTGTAATGTAGATTGTGAGAAATATTTATATACTTGTACGCTGATTGGTTTAGCTTCGTTTTTAAAATTCCTTTTCTTTTAAAGAATATTTTTTAAATTAATTAAATATTTTTTTAGTCTGTGGAACTAAGAGTGACTGTGGGGGAGAACGACACGGGAGAAGTGGTCGGCCACGTCATCGTCGGTTGTCACGTCGGAGGTAAAGCGCTTTCTCATTGGTCGCAGATGATCGCCTCACTGAGGAAGCCGGTGGCCATGTGGCATCCCCTTCTTCGCCCGTCTATCCCGCTCATGTCCCCGACCAGGCCTAAACCGACTTTCACAGCTCAACGCTAAATGCGGTTATCTTCAATCCCGCGAACATTCTCGACACGTCCGAACTTTTGATAATCAACACGGCGTTTTCATCCGCTCTTCTTTCACATTTAAATAATAATAATTTTTCATGTATGAAGCTGTCTCGAAAGAGGAAATGTATGTAGGGTAGAGCTGTTTTTGTTGTCACACACTTCGCGCGAGGGTCGGACGGCTAAAAATTAAACGGAAATTACAGAGCCAAGTAATGCGTATTTCTGAACAGAAAAACGGGCGGTTTGACGTGAAAATGGGTCAAATGCGATTGCGAGTCGGAGGCGAAACAATGATTGGGAAGGTCCTGGAAAAGGAATCCGCTACACCCGAAATATCGTTTCAATATGAGAATGAGAATGGAATCTCGTTTCCTTAAATCACACGACGCATATCGATACTTGTACGAACAAAAGAAAAGCACAGAGGAAAAAAAGGGTGCAATGAAAAATAGAAACAATGACTTTTCTTGACAACATGAACCATCATGAGAAGTAAAAACTAAATGGGATGACACAGTAAGATTGAATAGGTAAAAGGGTATTTAATAAAGAAATAAATCGGCTCTTAGATCTCGCGTAATATTAAAGGAAAGAAAGAAATATCAACTTAGGACTTTGCGTCTATAAAGTTAATATAAATTTTACTTTCTATAAATTAAAATATAACGTTAGTTTTTGGAGAAAGCATTGGAGCTCTATACAGATAGGTATACATGTAAGGCGATAAGGAATTGAACAGAGAAGCTCTCCTGTTTCAGCCTGTCTAAACTGTGTACACTTCGTTTCTTGTAGAAAAATAACAATATTGCTGCTTTACGAGAGCACTTGTGTTCTATTAGAAATGAACTGTTACTTGAACTAAGGACCATCCATAACAACTGCAAGGTTTTACGTAGCTTGAAAAGCCCACAGACATAAAATTCGTCTATTAATGTGGTTGTTGGCAAACATATCTACGATACAAAAATGATTTAATTGTCATGATCTGCGGCAGTGCGGGTGTTGAAGAAATAAATCAACCTACGATCACTAGTAATTTTGGAAGTAAATACAAGAATAATATGTAAAAGTTAAACACATGAGAGTTATTAAAAAAACATAGAAGTATCGAATGAGTAGAAGGAAAACGAATGGTAAAAACAACAAAAAAGCTCTGGGTATGTTGCAAAATTAAGTTTTGTTATTTATAGAAAGGTGGAAATATAAAATTTCAGATCTTATGCAAGAGGACTACTTAAAATAATAAATACTATAGAACGATTCTTTTGAAAGGAATTATGGTTAAACTTTGTAATGACGTTCCGTAAGAAGGTATATCAATCGCTGTAGAGGGCCTATAAAATCGTGCTTTATAATGAAATGGTAAAAACATTTAAAATTTACAAGATAGGGAGGGGTGAACCAATTTTTCAGTTGGAATTTTTAAATATTTTTTTATTAAACACGAATTTTTTCTGCATCGTTTGTTGTAAAGGGTTAAAACAAAAATATCTACAGAGACCAAAATGGCGTCTACGAATACAATACAACTAAAAATAAACCCTGAAATGTCCGACTGAAAGGTCTCAATAGCATCAGTTCTGTACAACAAAAGAGCGCTCAAGAAATCGGAAATCAAACTACAAAAAATGAATAGTCACATTTTTTACCCTCATGTTCCTTTTCCCGGTTTCTGTTCAATATTTTGAATTGCTTATTTTTTTAATTTAACAAAGCAAAAACTAAAGGTTTTGTCGACGCTTTTTGAAAATAAAATTCATGCCCTCAAAAAATTTTGAATGTCGTTAATTAGAGGCAGATTTTTAGGAAAGGCTCAACGTCATGTAAAAATTAGCGAACCGAAATTGCCAAAAAAAAAGCCTCGACACGTTATTCTTATCGAATTCTATTTAAAACAAAACTAACAAAACAAAACAATAAGTGAATAATTCTAGAGAAAAAGGAACATTAAATTTTTTAGTTTTTTAACAATGAACAACTTATTAAATAACTATACACATTAAAACGTGTATGAAAATGTTCACAAGAAAGCTGTAAATGAAATGAGACCAATCCCATTTTGATATGAGTCAACGAGATATTAAAGGAAGAATGGAAGGGTTAGGAAAAAGAATTCGAAAATTGGTTGACCCTCTTTAAACAGGAAAATAGAGTATTTGGTAAAGTTAACTAATTTAATATGTTATCAGTGTTTAATATAATGGTTACGTGTAATTAACAGTTACGTTAATCTAAAAAATATTTTTTGGTAAAATAAATAAATCACCTTTGTTTAAAAAAAATTGAATCCAGAATGCCAGAAAACGTCAAACTTATGGAAAACGCCCATGAAAAGCTACTAAAACAGATGCTTTCGCGTTCGAAATGACTAAAGTCAAAGGTGCAAAATTAAAGAATGAGAGAGAAAATGTAAAGACTGGTTTACTTTAAGTATAAGCAAACAATTAATTAGATAAGATTCGTCTTCAACGGCTTTTCAAATCTTGTCATTTTAAATCATATTTGTTTGTGTAAAATAAAAACAATTGTTGTAAAGTGTAAAATAAATAGATGTGCTTTTCGTATCGTTGTTAAAACTTAAGTAAAATACATTTAGAAACTGCGGAATATAAACGTTTTTATTTATTTTAGCATACTACATACATTTCCTATACATGCAATAACTATTATATGTTTGATTGGACAATAGATTAGAACATTCTCGATGTCTCTTCGAATCTCTAATTTCTTTCGGAATAAAACTATCAACATTTCCGTATTTAATTTTTAATATTTTAACTTTGTAAGTCTTTGGCTAATATTTAATTAGAAAAGCCGATTATCTATGAGAGTTTAACTGCAGAAATTAAAACAACTTTTAGCAGCAAAAGAGGAGAACTTTGAAATTGCAAAAAAATTATATACATCTATATATATATATATATATATAATTTACTCTTTCTGGCAAATTGTAAAGAAGTTTATGATAAGCTAAAAACGATTCACGTTTTCGACGCTAATATTAAAAACTGCTTACTGAATTGGCCATTCGTATCAATGATGGACAAAGCAAATTGCTATATTATTAATGACCTAGAAAAATATTGCTATAAAGAGAAGGTTTGGAGCTAGTAATAAAAAGTCGTTATTCAAAAGATGGTGTTGATGGGGTAAAAGTATGAGTACGAATAATTGCCTACGAATATTTTATCAGAAACTAGCGTTTTTCATTAAAAGATAACACAGAAGAATAGTAGAATAGAACGTCTATTCTGTCGATTGTGCACATGTTCACAACACGATAATTGACCGCGGTTTAGCCTCGTCCATCTTATTAATGCAACAAAAAGGAATATTGATAACGTGGCGGACAATAAAAAACAAATTGTGAATACACTTTTTAGAAAATCTGACATACTCCGTTGTTCAAAAGAACTGGAATATTTTTTTAAATTTGTCGCGACTTTAAAATAAACCGAAATATTTTGTTATTGGTTAGAATTTAGGCGCCTGTGTTATAAAAAAAAGAAAAAAAACTATGGCCTCTGTCATGCAGGGTGATAACGTGTTATAAAGTTATTATTGCGTAGCTCATTGTAGACTCAACAACAAACACGACGGCAAACATTGTTTGAAAAGAATAACCGATTTAAAATAATATTTATAATCTTTTATTAACAAGCATGAATATACAAAAAAAATGAACTTAGCGGCTGTAAATTAACAATCAAGAGATTTTTGTAATAATTACGCAGAAACAAAAGAAAAATATATAGGCTGATACAGCTTTACCGCCGGAATGGCTTAGAATTCTATAGTGTTATAGGTAAAAAACTAGTTGAAAAGGAAGATGTTAGACTGAATAATCATTTATTTAGACCAATTTTTTTCTCTTTGGTTGGATAATACTTCGACAAGTTTTGTAGTTGAACTCTTACTATTAAATGTATATAAATAGTCTTTATAAACGTTAAAAAGAATATGTACAAAAGAGAATTAAAATCTAATTGTTATGTAATTCTTACTAAATCAACTCAATTTCGCCCTAATAACAATTGTCGGCATTGTGAAAGTGACCAATTCGCTTTGTCTGTTCGTGGCCTACACTGTGAAACAATAATCATAATAATAATAAGTTTATACTTACAATATTCAAAACTTAATTGTTTGGATATCTGTTCATCTGCTTGATAATTACTTGTCAGACTGGTTGATATCGCTGTTCAAAAACAGTGATGTATTATCAACAACCAAATTATTTCCTCCCTTTTATTCCTGGTAGGTTTTGTAACACAACAACTAACAACTAAAAACCAGTATAATTTGTGATTTAAGAAACACAACTGCTGACAATTGATAAGGGCTGTTACAACATGTCTTATTACTCGAACGCCTTATTAGTGTCGTGTTGTCATTTGTAAATTTGTTGAAACTGTTTATATTTGTAAATGATATTTATATATAAACTAACTTAATGTTATTAGTACAGAAATAATTATAATCGTTATAGAAAATATAGAACAGATTAATGTATCAAATATGCAAAATATTTTACTAACATGTAGTACAGTTCCTGTTGAAAATAAGCATTCCTTTTTTTCGTTAGTTTTATTTATCCTTAGCTTTCTCAACATTATGACTTATGCGACTTAAAAATTACGAGGTAAGGTTTAATTTATTACACCCGCATAATTCCTTACAAGTAAGTTTGTTATGAATTGATTATACTTCACGTTTTGTTGCTCATATCAATTAACAGCGTGTAGTGTAGTAAACTCAAATAATTAAGGTTTTTAGTTGAGATGAAAAAAAGTTAATGGCACGAGTGGGATTCGAACCCACGATCTTCGGCTAGATACGCCGCTGCTCTACTTCTTGAGCTATCCTGACCTCGATCCACTCGGACATCAACTTTTTTTTGACAATTGTTTTCACCTCTACAACAACTAAAAACCTTAATTAATTGTAATGTATTAATTGGTCAAACGGACCACGAAATTAGTGAATTTAGTAAACTCAAATGATGAATTGTTCATTTGCAATATTTCACCAGCTGCCAAAACTGAACCACGGTTTCGGTATCATTTTAAGGCAAATTTACATTGACTCTTTGATCCCCCTTTTCAATTTTTATAGCTTTTATTAGCTTTGGTAGTGACAATAATAGACTTTATGATGATCAGAGTGTTTTCATTTGGTGAAATATAAATTGCTATGCTGATAACATGCTGTCCGCTCTTTGTATCCTTCTACTGCTATCTATTATCCAACAGTTGCCGCATCAATGAAATCAAAGTTGATTAACAAACAGTTCTATATTAGGTGTTCCAGAGATGTGTGGATAGTTTTGACGCAAGCTCAACCAATTGCAGAACGCAATTAGAGTGGGATTAATGAAGATAAGATGAACAAATCTAGCAATCTGATCCAAGAAGGACCATATAAGCTTTATTGGGATGAAAATATTACCACGGACGGAAGCATAGGCCATAACGAACCGGATACCCTATGAAACCAAGAAAACGGCACATAACATCGATATTGCTATCCCAAATGATGGTAATCTCGATTCTATGAAATCGAAAAAATAAGGAAATACTAGATACTGGCCATTGTATTCAAGCAGCTCTACAATCTTGATACTGGGAGGGTGACGAGGATAATTATGTCTTGCAGCGGATTCGTGCTTCAATCAATAGTGACAGGCACTGAGTTGAGTCACCAAGAAAGACTATTAACGACGCCCAGTACGTACGGTATGACTGGTTACTGCTAAAATTGTAAGGAAATATTTAAATATTGCCTAGAGTGATTGGAGAAACCCCCTACTTAGGGTTTTGTTCCTCAAATGATAGAATAATAAAAGTTACACGACAGGTTCTCTGTGGACCCTCTCGTCATGCTCTTGTTAGAGAAATACGCGGAGCTGGAGCCTGGAGGGTTGTTGTCTGGATACCCGGACACGTCGATCTGGAGGGTAACGAACGTGCAGACGAGGCGGCGAAAGCCGGGACGTCCCACCGTCCGGATCGGACCATCGCGATAAGGCCCCCTGACACTAAGCACGCAGTGAAAAACATGATAAAAGAAAGATGGCAGCGTCAGTGGGCGGGCATGTCGGAGAGGCCGGCAGATGGCCCTCAGAGAACCTGAGCAGGTTACGAGGGGTAGTCCTCACTCGACTGAGGATTGGCCGTACGTGGTTGTCACACGTGTACCTGGCCAAAGCCCGTGCAGGTGCCCCTTATGCAGGAGGATAGGTGGCTTTATATCTCCCACATACTAGAGGCGTGGCATGCCTTGGCTCCATTCCGAGAGCGTGTAGGCATGCCGCCGGATTTAAGAATGCGAGTTTCAGGGTCCCCTGTTCCGCTTTTTGCAGGAATTGGGAATCTTTTATTGTATATAGTCTTCAAAATATGTGTTTTGTGTTTCTGTGTTTTGTATCCCCATCGCCCCTCGAGCTGTGTACGTGACTTGGGTTGATGGCGGAATATTTATAAAAGTACCCCATCGACCCCCAATTAAATTAGTTTGTTATTGTGTGCAGGTTGATGGAGGAATATTGAGTACTTCATCCACAAATAGAATGAATGCAATGTATATAGGTGTGAATGTATTTATTTGTGTGAATGCATATTGAATGTGTGTTGGAATATTTCGCATGCGCTCGGGGCTGAAATGACTAAGCTGTCGGATGCCCCTTTAAAAAATAATAATAAATACAAATGATAAATAAAATGCTAAACGAAGTCGAAGTTTCTGGAGAATCCGTTTTTTGAAGAGAGATTTTCGTCGATGCAAAGATTTTGATCTGGGCTGAACACAATGTTGATTTATTTCTTTATTCATCAAAGTCTTATTTTAAATAATTTGTCGTTTCAGTAGGCAAACTGCTGTCATTGAATTGTAACAATTTTAAGATTCTTGCGGCCTCAAAACTTCACTTTCACAAAAAGCAATTGAATTTTTTTTATACTGTATGCCGGGGCTTCACAAACTGGTAATAACAATGCGTACTGAAAACGACAGCTTTTTGCTTTGCAGCACCAGTCATTGTGTGCTCTCTACAGGCATGCTGTAGCTGTGAAAGAAATGCCAGCCTCTTTCAGGAAAATTTTAGAAGAGTCTGTGCAAATTATTAATTATATCAAGTCGTGGTCATTGAAGTCAAGACTTTTCACAATACTATGTGTCGATATAGGAAGACTTCATCATTTCTGCTTCACCATACAGACAGCTATATCGTGGGAAAGCACTTTCAAGATTACAGAATTATGTTCTGAAGCCTTATCTCTGTTGATAAATCATAATGTCAAATTGGCCAACGATTTCAATGATGAGAAATGGCAATGTGTTGTATCGTATTTATTAGATATTTTCATTAAAATGATCTTTCTCTGCATGGGAAGAGTATCACAACTTTCGGTGCTAATGACAAAGCCACGCCTTCAAAAGATAAATCCAATTTTGGGTTGAATCTGTTGAGAATGAAGAGGTGGAGTGTTTTTCTGTGTTAAATGATGACAAGGAAACAAACTTGAACTTGCGAACGGCACGTTGATTGATGGAATATGTGAACACCTTCGAAGTTTGGAGTTGTCCTTTGAGCAGTACTCCCTAGCAGCTTGCGACACGATGCAACAAGTCCATGAATGTTCAAACCGTTTTAATTTCGATAAAGCCAACCAGTCTATCTTGAAGTGAATACGAATGTTTGATAGACATTACTTCAGACTCCATCGTGAAATCTACTTTCGAGTAACCCCCATTTTTGACTACGTCTAGAAAACAAAAAGTTTCAACCGCTAGTTTAACAAGCAAAACGTGTTCTTCACAATCCATTTTTAGACGATATCCAGAGACATAATATCTGTGTAAAAACACTTCAAAATTCACTAAAAAGGCAATATTAAGATAAAAAGATATGGTTGAACCGTTAGGAAATTGAACTCGAATTGGCCACACTGAGGATTATGGATTCAAATCCCTTGGAAGCTTATTTGAGATTGATTTGTAAAACGTATTGTAAAACTGCTCTGACCCTTTATCCGCTTCACCTAATGGGTAGGTAGTTGGAAGTTAGCCTTTCTGTATGTCATTTAAACTTCACAATGTAGACTTAGATGGCCGTAAGTTTGGATAAACTGAAGTGGAGCGTTTTCTCGGCGGATTCAGGGTTCTAATCTCAGCCGTCCTGAATTTCAACCCAGAGTATATACAACGGGGCTTTTATTTATTTCTTCCTTTTTGTTTATAAAACACTGGAACCCCTGCTACAGCCTTGCGAATATTTAAAAAAAAAATCGTAGTAACCATTTTGGTCTGCTTATCACCTTTGGTTTGAACTGACAGAACAAAATGATCGGTAACGACCAACCATCATCCCTCAGATCACGTGGCGAAATATCGCAAGGTATAAAATTGCCCATGCTTGAAATGGGGGTAATTTTGACCCCAGAACAAAGGCAGAGAAAACTTTTTTTGTTATTTTTTACGTAGGAGGTATTAGCGGGGACACCAGAATAACAAAATAAATATACAGTAGTGTGATTAGTATGAATGATGCTAATTTCTATCTTTATACGGTAGACTGTGACTCCATAATTGAAGAAAATTGTATTTTTGTAATTACAGACTCTTTTAAATATATTTAAAAAAACCTAATTTCGACCCTAACCGGCAATATCAAACATATTTTTCAAGCATAATTTTACATGCATAATAGGAGGAAAATAAAGGGAAATGTTTTGGAAGTGTGAAACCTTATTTTTAATTTGCAATTAGAACTATTGTGTATATTCACATTCATATACAAATTTGTTTTTCAAAAAAATTCCAAATTAAAAACATCAATAAAGTTGTGATGTTATTTTACACAAGCCGCGTCCAGGTTGAACGGGGTTAATTATAAACTATTTTCGCAATCTATTTAAAATAAAATACGAAGCTGTACATACGACGCTTTTGATTGAAGTATTATAAACAATTGATTTAAACGAAAAAGTTTTTTGCGACGATGCCCCTATCGACGGAAGGAGACGTACAGAAGTAGTGCCGTATGCAAGTCGTTTGTCGAAGACGTATATGCTTGTATCTGAAGTCCTGATGTATTTTTATTATTCAGTTAATTATAACGTATAAAAACAGTCCTTACTCCCACATGTATATGGAGGATTAATAATACGTACGTCTTTATTTCCAAATATTTTAATTACATAAGAATAAGATCATTAAAAATGCGGCAGTATTTACACAGTGTATTTAACATTGTGGACCTAGTTTGGGTAATGGGTTGAAGGTTGGTGATTCCAATCCGATACTAAAATGGAATCCGATAAATTGCTGAACATTCGAAGAAAGGTTGACGGGGTCGAAATTAATTAAAGCGCGGTGTTTTTGCCATGGTTTCTTGTTATAATGGACTCGGGACCCATTGACTTGATTGTCTCGCAATACATTCAGCAGTTAGAAATACTTGGGCAGCGAAGTTTTTTTGTAAATACAATAAAAACGAATATATGTATTAATTATTTTAATTTTACTTTTTATCTAAGTCCACGAGCGGGACCTTCGGACGTGA